CTTTTTCAACCGAAGCACTTTTAGTTTCCGAATCATCATTCTTTTCACCGGTTATATCAATGGGCAAAGCTTCTTTTCTTTGAGCTAATTCCCTATCAATTTTCTCTTGGCGAAGTACTTGCACCCTATCGCGCAAAGCTTTAACTCCCCTCTCAATTTCAGCCCGCTCTAGATTAGTTTGCCCCCCCCCAATGCTTTTAGGATCTTTTGGCAATGAAGTGTTAGTGTTACCAAAATTTTGTAATTGTGTAGGGGGTGTATAATATGCTGCGGTACTAGGTGGAGGTGTATGCACTTCTGTATAACAATATTCTCTCTCACCAATACTACCAATTGATGAAGTTTCATCTTCCTGCAAAACTCTAACCTTTATTGCAGCATAATCAGGAAACAACCCCTTTTCATATTGTTCAAGGCAAAGAGCATTAATTCTCTTGTTTTGTGCCAAACTCTTTTTTAATGCAGCCACAATCGCTTCTGGAAGGGATTGCTCCGCAATACTTTCAGATTCTTTCGGCAATGAGGTGCTGTCGAAATTATGCAATTGCGTAGAGGATGCATCATATGCTACAATATTATATGATGGCATGTGAACTCCTGGAAAATTTTCACTTATTCGGCTATGACCATGAAGGTGCGGAGCTGAATTATGAGAATCTATAGTTGTATACGGTGCCGAAAAATTACTAACATGAGGTGTAGCATATGACGGTTGAGAGTAACTGGCCGAATATCTAGTAGTAGCATGGTCAATTCTCTCATCCATCAGCAATGTTGGATTTACATATTGCAAATTAGTTGCCAATGAATGAAAGGGTGAAACACTTTCTTGTGTGCTATTGAGAAGTTTAACATGAGGTGTTTCAAATTGATTAACCAAACTCATCATGTTGTTCATCGGCATATGGATTTGTGGGGTTGCCGATGCATGCGAGTTAGGATACATATGTTGTACGTTGCTAAAATCATAAGAATTTGAAGCATGAAGATTATTTTGCATCGGCCTTGCGCATAATTAGATGCATGATTAATAAAACTAGGGCTAGCCGATACATTATGCTCATTAGGTGATCTAGCAACAATATATGAATTATTTGCATCTACAAAGGGGAATTGGGTGTTCATATTACCTTTGTAGATTGCAAACCCTAGATGACGATCTCTTCGTAGCAAGAACAGGCCGGAGACCGTTCAAAGCTTCGTCCCCAGCGGAGTCGCCAAAAAGTGTGTTCGCACACGAACACGTCATCGTGTACCTCCAACACCGAGGGTGATGCACCGCAGCTCACTTCGAAGGAGACCCGTCCGGAAGTGCGGTACGCAGGCAATCTGGTGGGTGCTTTTGAAGACCCGAAACCCCACACGCCCGGGAGGGACCCTGTCAGGGCGCGCGGCGGCTATGGGCTGCCCTAGGTCGGCCTGACCGCCCCTAGGGCCTCGAGGTTCGCCGCCCTGCAACAAGAAGAACGAATGAAAAACGAGGAAGAAGAAGAACTAGGGTTAAGGAGAAAAGATAAAAGATAAAAGGTGGTAGATGAATTGATCGATTGTGCGTTGTTCAATCGGCCGTCACCCCTTAGGTATATAAGAGGCGGCTGGACTTCTCGTGCAAAGAAAAGGCTTGGATTCACGTCCAAAACCCTAGTTAAATTTGGAATCAAACTTTTCAAAACGGTTCGGTTTACAACCTGGCTGCACCTTCCGGGTCATGCTTGAGGTAGTAAACGATCTCGGATGGAAACGTGTCCAAAAGCAATTTTGACCGTTTCAACGAGACAAAAAACTTTTGTGTTGAACATTTTTTGATCAGAGGTCATCTTGAAGGTTAAATCTCTCGCGCAAAACGGACTGTGATGCAAAACACCCGTTCCCTCGCGCTACCCATCAGACATAGGTCTGGTGGGGCGCGCCACATCATGCCTCATGACAGGACTCCACTCCGATAGCTCTAACTTTTGTATACAAACTCGGATTTGAATGATTTTTATATCAAAATCGATCATTTCGACGAGACGAAGACAATCCGTGTAGATCATTTTTCCATTTGAGGTCGTCTTTGGGGCTTAATCGTACAAACTGTACTCTGAATATAAGATCTTAGTATTTTGAGTATAGTTTCGGCTTTCGAGATGAAATCGGACGGTGATAACCCAAACTTCAAAGATGTTCATATCAACAATACGAAAATCTTTCATGAAGATCACTTCTCCATTTGAGGCCAACTTAAATAAGTCCTTAACCGTGCCAAAATCTGATGTCAACAGCCGCCATATCGCTCCACGACGCTACAACTCTGACTTCATACTCAAGAACACGCTGAACAGTTGTCGACGAAGGACACGCCTCAGCCCTTCTCCTCATGCCATCATTATCATTGCCACACAAATCGCAACGACATCGGATGCGAAGCGATCGCCCCGCCATCCGCACCACCTCAACCAAGCATCGCCACAACAACAAGGCGGCTTTGAATCAGGCGAAGCCAGCGCACAAGTCGCCAAACACCAGACCCTCAATAGCACCGGATGAAGGACACGTCCGTGATAAAGGCTCACAATGCTGCACTCATGGTTGTGTTCTTGTGTTAGGCGTACGTTAGGCTACCTCATGCCATAACCAAATTAGCACATGTTGCTGGCCGTGGCCATCGGGCCATCGCTGTCCTCCTGTGGCTGACGAAAAATGCGAGACCAGAGTGACGCTGCGTTTTTCCCTACGTGTCCACCCTCGCCCCGCCAAGCATGCAGGGCTACTGCGTAGGCCGGCTGGACTGGACAGGACACGAAGCAAATCACGGCGTGGACAAATGCCGCCGATTTTGATGTTAACTTGACGACAAGACAAGCAAACACCTAAACCTCAAGCAAGAAACTGCGGTGGCAAAACGGCTCTTTTGTTCCTGTCTCCTCTGCTAGAATCTTCCTCTTCTTCGCTTAGCAACTTCTTCAGGACCAACTGAGAGCTGCATCTGCATGTGGCCTGGGCTGAAGAGCCAACAGGATTCCGAATGCGATCAACGAAGCTGTGGCATTCGGTTTACAAAAGCCTCTTGAAATTGGCAAGTGAAAAATTAGTAAACTATCTTCTGATGACCGATTTACAGGGGACATTTCGCTATTTTTTTAGTTTTGGCCAGATTCTTTCGGCCACACTAAGCAACGGTATAAAGTACTTGTTTTGTTTTGATGCTAATAATGCAGGAACATAAACAACGAAGGTTCTTCTTCTGTCACGAATCATCGAGTACTATAATCAGTTGATGTTACATTTCAAAAAAAAAATCAGTTGATGTTATGTGAACCTCGGCTTGGAGAGCTAACAGAGTAGTTTAAAATTAAACTCTTTCTTTGTCTGTGAACTTTTTTGTCCCACGAGATTAATTGAACTGTTCGTGCTTGACAATGATGCGGGGCACCCCATAATGTAGATCTTTTGAGGACCCCTCCAATGATTATCCCCCAAAATATCAGTGCGCAGTTAGGAGGGATTCGGCTAGGAAACCAATTGGAAGACACCATCTAACACTCAATCTGCGGTAGCACATTATAATCAGCTGCGAAAAACATAACCTTGAAAACAGGAAAACACTGGTCAGCTAAACAATGAAATGGGAAAAATAAGGTCGGAAAAACAAAATAGGCAACAACAGATTGGAAAAAAAAGTGGATTAGCGTAATCTAAATCAATTCTATGCCCAAATTGCCATTGAGAATGTTCAACCATCATCTTAAAGCAATATTTAGTTGAATTTGTGGGCATCTTGTACGCGTTCTTCCAAAGAGCTTCACCAAAACAAACATTACTTAAGTAGAATTACATAAAGTTTAAACGACAAGCAGAATATCTAGGTCAACGTAAAGGCTGTCTAAGTAAGAATGGTCTACGTACAAACGAATTTTGAGTATCTACTTATAGTATGAAAAGTATGATTTAGGGTCATGATTGTGCCGAAAGTGAACCTCAGGTGCTCCAATTTCTCGAACGTCAATATTGCCATTTTCAATCCGTAAAGAAAAAGGTATGGATAACTGGCCATTCGACGTATATTTTTTCACACACTTTCTTCAGACGGCAAGAGCAAAAAATTCAGAACCCTCTTCCGACAAAATGACCTTTACTGATAGTTTCAGGAATTCAATAACGGCAGAAACAAACAAATATATTCTATATAAGTATCACCTGTCCCAAAATAAGTATCTCAAACTTACTACAACACTGTATTAAGGGAGTACCTAGAACTCATCTAGATGAGATATAATTTGGTCTCATTCACTTTGAAAACAAGAACAGATACAACCCACGTCAGCACACACGCATCTTATAGCATCACATCCAATGACTATAAAAGGTGAATGAGACCAAATTATATCTCATCTAGATGAGTTCTAGCAAAACTGCTGTATTAAAGTTAGTATAAAGTTAAGACACTTATTTTGAGACGGGGAGTATATGATAAGGATATGGCCTCTTTCGATAAGCTCAGCTGTCTACACCACGGAAATGTGCCATCGCAAAAGGAAAAGAAAAAAAAAACACCACGAAAATGTGAGTGGCAGCCAGCAGAGATTACCAAGATATCTTCTGTCTGCCTTTCTGAAGGGGATCACTGATGCCTTGGACCAATGCGTGGAAACTTCTGCCGCACTAGCACCGACCAGGGAGTATCAACCACTAATACGATATTGAGCCTGGCTGTCAATGATTCAGTATAGTGATTCAGTATAGCGCATGCACTGTTTGGTTGGCTGATTGGTTGTTTGTTCCATTTGGCCACCTTTCTCTCTCCAGACCCTTCTTTGCGGCTTCCCTCGTCCCTCTGCCTCTCTGCCTGCCTATAAAAGGCCACAACGTCTTCTCGCTCATAAGAGGCGGCTCATCTCTTGCATCTGTCACACTGCACAAAAGCAAAATCAATCTTCTGGAGTAGCTAGCTACTCTGCTAGATAGTGTACTGTCAAAGCTAGCTTGGAGATCCCGTGAGAGTTTGTGCAAGTTGCAAGATGGTTAAGGTATGTTCAGTTTGCTTCTCTTGTTCCAGGACTAGCGAGTGTTCAGTCCGATCAATTTTGTGCATAGTTCTGAATTTTCTTGTATCTGTTGCAGCAAAAGATTGTCCTCAAGTTGGCTCTGGATGATGAGAGGAAGAGGAGGAAGGCCTTCAAGGCTGCCGTTGGCATGTCAGGCGTGACATCCGCGACGATGGAGGGGGACAAGATCATCATCGTCGGGGACGGCGTCGACCCGATCACGCTGACCACGATGCTCCGGCGCAGCCTGGGCTACGCAGAGCTCCTCAGCGTGTCCTCCGGTGACGACAAGAAGAAGGACGGCTACGGCGCCGCCTACGGGTACGGCGGCAGCGAGAAGAAGGACGGCTACGGCGCCGCCTACGGGTACGGCGGCAGCGAGAAGAAGGACGGCTACGGCGCAGCCTATGGGTACGGCGGCGGCGAGAAGAAGAAGGACGGCTACGGGTACGGCGGCGCCGACAGCAGCGGGAGCGGCATGAGCTTCGGCGGCAAGGAGGGTGGCGGCTCCAAAGGTGGCGGAGGCGGCGGCGGATACTCTCAGTACGCGGTTGCGCCGGTCATGTACCCCGCGTATCAGCAGTACAACGCCATGGCGTCCTACCCGGTTTACTCGTCCTACCCTGCTCCTCCTGCTTATCAGCATCAAGAACAGGATCCCGGCTGCAGCATTATGTAGTACGTACTGTACTACTGTAGTATACTTGTTAATTAAGGAGAGATGATACGTCGGCGAGATCCGGATAGTTGCGAGCGGTGTCCAGGCCATGATTTTGATGGCCTGACCCAAAAGTTGCCGGAGAGAGCAGAGAGATGCTGGCTCCCTGAGCACTGAGTAGTACGTACTCTACATATGTACAGTACATGTTGGTTGGATCAGCAATGGTGGTTTGCAGGGTGGTAACAGATTGTACAGGAGGAATGAATAAAAGGAAACTCAGGTGTTTGCAAGAAACGCAGCACAAGATGCAGAATTACTCAAGATACGGCGCCATCGTGCACGGTTAGTTCAGGAACTGCATCAAAATCATTTATTTGCTTATTTTTCGGACAGGCTTCGCCCCACTAATACATATATAAAACAAATAAGCAGCAACATAATAAAATACGCGTCCCAACAATACAATATATATGACGGGAGGCCCAGTTACTAAACAGATTAAAGGATGAACATAAAACTAGAACATGCCTAACACCTAACCCAGGCCTGACTGAAGACACCTGGCCCCACGACAACGCCCCCAAGAGGGTGACGACACGAAGCGTCGCCGCTACCAAGTCTAAAAGATTAGACTTTTCACCCCGGAGCCTAGCACAAGGAAAAGATCCACGACGGCGCCTTCAGGAAGCAAGCAACATCTACTGATGTTGTTGTCACCGGCGCCAGAAACATAGAGTTTTTGCTTAGAAACTCGCCTACACCACGGGAGGATCCCGATCACCACCACAACAAGGGTCAGCTCAGCCACACCAGATCTGGTTACTGCCAGAGCAGACCAGAGCCTCCCGCCACTACACACTTTATCACCCACACGACCAAAAGGTGAAGCTACCACCGCTACCACGGAGCCTGTCAAAAAGCCAACCGTCGAGCCCGCCATCCAAGACCACCGCTCCCGTAACCATGCCCCTAGGCACCTCCAACCGTCCACATCACGGCCACGCAACCATGATAGGAGAATCAAAAGGCGCCACCTTTCACCCCTAGCCCGATATCAGCCATCGGGCCTAGGAAGACACCCCACAGTAAGAAGCGGCCACACCCCGCATGCCCAGCCGGTCCCGGTGGACCAGAGGGGATACAACCCAGCATCTATATACATAATTTTTGCTTACAAGAACATTTCGAAGAACATCAAGCACAATACATTGACTAATCTGTGTTGGATAAGCTTATAGAATACGTCTCATACTGTCGTCCGGTCGTTGCCGTATGTGAGCAATTCGCAACAAAATAGCTTGGATTGCTTCTTGTCTACAACAGTGCTGCTAGAACTCAAGAGTTCTAAGAAGAAAAGCAAAGGGTACTTGAAGAAAAGACAGGAAGATAGAAGAACACAGTGGACAGTTTCAGCACAAGGCTAGCATTTTAGTGGGCACTTTGTAACATGCACTGTTCAACAAAATATCTATACCTTCAAAAACGGACTCACAGAAACATGTATAATGCTTTCGCTTTACGATGTGAATAGATCTATGTGTACTGATATACATCAGGAGATACACGAAATACACAAACAAGGTTGTGAATCTTGGCGCAGATCGACGACCCACAATCTACGTGCCTCTGCCTCCAAATCCCCTCCCAGGGACTAGGGCCCTCTTGAAGAAAATATTAGAACCCTAAACATATTTTATATTGATAAGATCCTTATATGGGGTATATATGAAAGTACAAAGTGACGAGAGGCTTGGATCATAAGAGAAGTCATTATTGATTTAAACAAATTCTATCTCTATCCCTCCTTATCTCTAACTAACACGTTTATATTTCGAACACCCCCCCTAAGTCGTAGAGGAAATGAAGTAGGCGATTGTGATTGTATTTGAAGTCTTGCGTGTCTATCGTCTTCTCCATTGCCCCATCATCAACTGCATCTCTGATGGGTCGGCACCTAAGACGGTGACTGCGTCCCCTTCTAGTGCCCTGTCTCTCTTCTATTCCCTTCCTTAGTCACATCCTTAGTGACATGGACGCTAGAGACAACGCGGACGCTGTTGACTGTAGTTGTTGCCGATGTAGTTGTAGACGTACCCGTGGATGTCGATGTCGAGGTAGCCGATCATGTAGTAGACGTGGTCGAGGTAGTCATGATTGATGGTGTAGTCGTCGTGGATGATGAAGCCACGCAAAGCCAAATGCGCAAATTTTTTGCAATATGTTGTAGATGACGGAGCTGCGGTCATGGATGATGCATCTTGCGGATGTCAGAGGTTGTCGTCGGTAATGAGTTCATCAGTTTTGTCAGGACTAGAGAAAGCCCGTCGAGCACACATTGGTTTTACCAGGACCGTGTGGCCGTGTACGGTCGTCACTATAGTGACGCCGTGTCGATGCAATCATGTTGTCGTAGATGACGCGGTCGACGTTGTCGTCGTGACACAATCTTTGCCGTCATTGAGGCCATGTCTTACAGAAAAGTAGTCAGAGGATGCTGGAGATGTGCACCATATGGACGAGGTGGCGGCGGTGTGTGTTGATGAAGATTATGCTTTTTTGACGTAAATAATGAAGATCATGTTGATGTAGACCTTGGTGATGAAGTGTCGGTGATGTCATTGCATTGGCGTGTCGACGATGGTGGATGCATCCCCTGCAGCGACAAAGTGTCGATGTCTTGTCGTGCGGGAGAAGTCGACGAAAAATTACATATCTTTTGATACCTGTCTGACGTGTGAATGGTGCACGCGGGGTCGCTTCTCCATATAGATGTAATCAATGAAGATAAAAAATAAAAAAAGGAAAAAATAATTACCGCTGCACCCTACAAGCGACCCCTTTGCATATAGTCCTCAATTAGAAAAAATACATGGGGTCCTCAGCTTCATTTAAAAAGGAAAAATATTTCAAAAAAATCTTCACCTTCATTTAGACAAAACATTTCAAAAGCTTTCTCATCACGGTGGCGCAATGTGGCATAGTTGGTTGTCCACCTTCCTCCGACGCTTAATGGGTTTAATGATGCAGCTCGGCTCAGGAGGTGTCGACGCAGATACATATCGGCGGCTTTATACAGGTTCGCTTCGTCGGGTGTAAATCCACGGTGTGTGGTACTGTGTGAAGGCGTCGTGCACCGCGGCCGCTCGGCAGAGTCCGCTAGGATTTGCTGGGAGTAGCTTGCGGCTGGCTTGTCGGCGGCTACGATCGGCGCGCGTGTAGTCGAGGATGACGTATACGCAGATGGATCGAAGTCGGCTAGCTGGTGGATTCTCCCTCCGATGGATCTCCTTGGCTTTGTCTTGTGTGTGGATGGCCTGATATGCACTGTCGTAGTACCTTCTAGTTCATTCCCGTGCCTTGGTGCATGTCGTACATTGTGCCGTATATGCAAAGGGTACCTTCCAGTGCGTGATGATGCATGCATTGCATGGCATCATTCTGTGCACGTGGACGATGGATGCAGTAGGCGATGAAGCTGGAGGTGATGCAGGCGCGTCGTCGATGTAGATTGGTTTGATGGCGTTCACGCGCGCGGATGGAGGCGTAGGCTCGTCGTCGCGTGCGCGCTGCTCTGGGAAGCACGCCCATCGCCGCGTCATCGTGTGCGCCGCCTGCGTTCCTCTGGTCCGGACGCTCGCTTCCGCCGTACCGAGCCACCCCCATGCGTTCAGAGGCTGATGTATCCTCGTCGAATTGGGTCCGATCCTTGGGTTTATTAGATGCTGCCCGACGCGTTGATGCGGGAACCTTGCTAAAGAATGCATAAGATTTGGTAAAAAACATCTAAAATTAATGAGAAGCAAATGTAGGCATAAAAAAGAAATAAAATACTGTACAAATGATATAAAGAAGGAAAAAATGAATTGGAATTAAAACAATGCCAATTCTAACCAAATGCGAAGGTGAATTACATAGTTATGATGCAACTGACCAACACATATATTGCCAATACAAAATCTAATGCAAAGAATAAATTATGATAACCCTGCAAAAAAAAAGTATGACTAACATGCATGAATTGATGATGTGGTGTGTTGCATGCATAGAGTAATGTAAAAATAATGTAACTTATGAGTTGCATGCATGACTTACTTATATGGCATAGTTGCATGTTTAGGGAAATAGGTAGTGTGTTGTAGCTATTAGGAATAGAAGATTTGGCTAATTAAAAATATCAATCTAATACTGTTTGATCTACTGGAACGGATCTGATCTTTGATCGATCAAGTGTCGCGCCACCGAGGAGAGAAGATTAATCTTTTAGGGATGGCGCTCCATGAAAGGGTGAAGGAACCTATGATCGGTGTCGTTGGATTAACCGCTACAAAAAATATAAAAAATTATCTGTCGTATTGTTCTGACCTTTATATGGGGTATATATAGAAGATCATGTGGGACAGGCTTAGAATACAAGCCAAGTCATTATTGGTTTAAACTAATTTTGTCTCTACCGTTCATGATCTCTAACTAAATTTGAAGTCTCGGTTGATTGTGTCTTAAACATAAGACCTCTTGACTCGAAAACATACCGGATTCATGCTCCAACCAGTTACTTCAAAATTCGGAATTGATGAAGACATGCAAACAATACATTTTGACAAATTCTTTCACATCTAGGCTTATTTAGACTTAGACGTCGGATCGATTTAAAGTCGTATTTTCTAATACTGCGTTGACAGGGTCTTTAAACTTAAGACCTCTTGACTCTGACCCTATAGTAAATTTATGCTTCAGCCAACCCATTCAAAAATCGAGACAGATAAAAACGGGCAGACGACATATATTTCAACACCTCTTTCGATGAGGTTAACTGTCAACAGCACGTAAATGTGCCAGCAGAGGAGATTAGCAAGTTATCTTTGTGTCTGTCTTTC